AGGATGCAAAGTGCTATTGTTTCAATTTAAGGGTGTAAAGTGCCAAACCCATGTAATTCAAGGGTGCAAAGTGCCAATTACCCAATTTTTATTATTTTCAGTAATGATTAGAGTTAAGCCCCACCGCGAATCGTTCATCGTCCGCCACTCCCCTTTCTTGCTCGGCGGCAGAAAGAAAGCTTATTTTTCATAAAGTAGAAGATTTTGTGAATATAAATCATAATTTCACTTTTATTTAAATAAGGAAATTCCGAATAGCCAGCCCACTGATGAACAGAGTTCTTTCTCTCTCCCCATTCTTATCCTTGAATCCCTTTACAAACAGGTTCGAAACTCTCTCTCTCTCTCTCTCTCTCTCTCTCCTAGGTTGAACAGAGTTATTTATTTATTTTTTTAATTTCCTTTTCCAATTTTGGTTTTGTACGCTTGAAGAATTTGCAGATTGGTTGTGAAAATGTCGGCAACAGCCGCCAGTAACGTTGGAATTCCGGCCGGTTCCCTGGTGGTGAAGCCTCCGGCGCACCCCACCTATGACCTCAACGGTGTTATACAGCTGGCGCTCTCCGAGGACGCCGGCGATCGAGGTAAATTTCACCGGTGAATTTTTTTTTGTTTATGGTAATTTAAAATGAAATCAACATCTTTTGTGTAGTATTTCCATCTAGTGTTGCAACAATTGGTTTGTGTTGAGGGTTTATCGATTGATTCCACTGATTACAGGATGATAAATCATCAATTGTATCACTAATTAGGGATGCAATTAGTGACGATTCTATTTATTCAAGATTATAAGCTGATTAGGGATTTGTTTATACAGTAGAACCTCGAGAAATTAATACTAGATAAATTAATAACCTCATAAAATAATAACCTCGCTTAAATAATAAGTTCTTTCGGTCCAGACTCGGTAAAAACCTACTAAATTGTTAGTTCGATAATTTAATATTTCGCTAAATTAATAGAATTTTGTTAGTCTCGGATTGTATTAAATATATAGAGGTTTAACTATATAAGTTGATTAGCTATTCACAGTGATGATTAAATTATTCAAGGAACAAATGAATTAAAATGCTTAGAACTGCACAAACATCCTTGCAAGATTATACATATATACACACGTTAGCTAGTATATTGCGAATTTGAGATTTTATTTTTAGTTCAGAAATTAGCTTCGTTGATAGAATAACATTAGAATTGAAACTGAATACAGTAGAACGTCATAATAGCTTCTTCTGGTCCCAACTCGGTAAATACCTACTAAATTATTAGTTCGATAAATTATTTCGCTAATTTAATAGAATTTTGTTAATCTGAGTGTATTAATTTATAGAGGGTTTAACTGTATCTGTATCTGGTTAAAATGTAGGGGATGTGACTTGTAAAGCAACAATTCCTGTCGAAATGGAAGTGGAAGCCTATTTTTTGGCAAAGGAGGATGGAATTGTGGCAGGTATTGCACTTGCAGAAATGGTATTTAAAGAGGTCGATCCTTCGCTAAAGGTAATTAATACTTTGGATCTATGTATCGTATCTGCAGATTCATCATTTTAAACATTTATCTCTGTTACGAAGAAAAATGAAATAGCAATTTGCTCGTTATTTGTTCGTTCGTCAGGTTGAGTGGTACGTAAAAGATGGTGATAGTGTGCACAAAGGCCTACAATTCGGCAAAGTACATGGTAAGCGATATAAAAAAAATAAAATCCCGGGAAATTGAACATTTATTCTGGAAATTCGTGTTTGACTTTGACCTTGTTTTTTTTTCTATTACTAATAAATGAAAATATGCAGGAAGAGCACACAATATTGTTGTGGCTGAAAGGGTTGTGCTTAACTTTATGCAGAGAATGAGTGGAATAGCAACTCTGACGAAGGTGTTGTTTTTTGTCACTATTATTCATAATTTTTTTGTCGTTTTTTTCTTCTAGGTGTTATTTATTGATCTAACGAATACAATAATCTTATTTACGTAAAATAGATTAATTCAAAATTAATGCAGGCAATGGCGGATGCTGCTCGCCCTGCATACATTTTAGAGACTAGGAAAACTGCTCCAGCCTTACG